CTGAAGGTTCTGACTGTCTTCAGAAACGATTCGATGGCATTTTGTTTTCATCTTCGCTTAATGTAATACCTAAAGGAAGTGTTCTTAATCGCAATACTGCTTTGTCCACGGAGGTTACGGGAAACAGCTCTAATTCAGCTTTTCCATAAGCGCCACCTGCTGTCAGCAAGTGGATTTACAGAGACATATATTTACATTTAGCCTGTGTGCAGTTTCTGTCTGGCCAAAAACAGACCAAATTTGCATGCCCTGCTGTAAATTTTGACCTGTTGATGAAAAACAAGCTTATGTGGATTCTACACATTTAAACAATTCAGATAAGCTATCTAGAATTACTTATGGAGCAGATAAAATACATATCATAATTTATTAATCTATTATAATTTAGACTTAACCCTTTTCTTTATTTAAAGGCTGAAATGTGAAGTTTACCTTTTTATTAAACTTTTTCAAAGCTTTATTTGAACATTTACATGAGATATTTCAACATGCTATTAAACTGTTGTCAGTCAAGTTGTCATTTAAAATCCGGTTGGATTGAAAATGTTATTGCTTTAGTGATTATGCAAACAAAAAGTAATTTTATTTGTTGTTTGTTGATTTGTAAATATAAAACTTGGTGAAGTGACTCTTTGAACATCTCCAGCACATTTTAACAATATCGTGATAATACTGATAACCGTGATAATTTGGTCACTATAATCGTGATAAGAAATGTTCATACCGTTACATCACTATTTAAACCACAGATGGCACAGAGTCTATAATTCCATAGTATACATTTTAAAATGTGGCTTAACTGTCCAAATGCTCTTTGGGACTGTACATTGCACAGCATAATTGCATGTTGATTGCTGATAAAGTCTAGCTAGGTTATGAGAGTTTGACATATTTTCTCTCATCCAAATTGGTCCTGCCACATTCAATAACTCTTTCAGCCGCCCTTGATGTTTGTTCAGTTCTGTCTAGTGTTTCAGAGGCAGAAAGCATTGTGTTATTTGTGCCAGCGTCATCGAGAGTTAAATCCGCCATTTGTTGGACTGTTTTGTTCCACATATCCTGTAGATTTTTTCCCTCGGATGTTATAATGGTGTACATATTGGTTGTTAATCATGCTCTCTACTGTAATTTTTCTTGAGTACAGCACAGCTGAAAAGAAGACTCTGTGTTGAGATATAATGCACAGAGCAGAAAGACATCTGGGTTGAAGCACCAGTGTTTCTTGTTCTGCATGGTCAGTTATTTCTGTTGATGCAGCTCAGTAAAAACAATGGAATAAAAAAATAGCGATTCAAGCAGTGTTTATAAGCGCAGCACTGATTTGTTTACAGCAGTAACCAAGGAAACGCTGTATAGCTGCTGTTCTATAAGCGCCACCTGCTGTCAGAGAGTGAATTTTGAGTTTTATTTACTATAGTTTTACAAAACTAAAGTCAGACCATGCTCTTTTTGCTTCAAATTTCGAAATTATACAATCTAATTTAGATTAAAAACTGCATGTATGCAGCATCTTTGTTTGGATCGTGATTCAGATACAGTTGTTGCCTCTAATTTTAAATGGAAAGAGCACAGGGAAAGCCTTAGTTTGTTTATATGAAGAGATTTCTTTTATTTGTGTTATTTAATTATTTGATTTGTTTTTTTTATTTCAGTTTAGTGTTATTTGACATATTTCAATTCCACAAAGAAATGTCCAGCATTTTGTCCAAGCAATAATAAAAGGACACCCTTTCATTTATAATTTGTCAAAAAAAGTTGAGAAAATCGTATCGTGAAATCATTATCGTGAATCGCATCACATTGTGAGTTGAGTGAATTGTTACATCCCTAAGTGACATACTTGCACATCATTAAAACAACAAGTAAGATATTATCATAGACGATTAATATCGCACACCCCTAATATCTAGCGATACTGCACTCTAAAAAATACTGGGTTGTTTCAACCCAACTTTGATGGACCAATACGGACGAACCCAACTTTTGGGTTAAAAATGTAATAAAAAAATGTAACCCAACAGCTGGATTAGTCCAGATTTGAAACAACCTAGCATTTTTAGAGTGTGTCAGCTTAAAAGACATTTGGCTCCAAAAAGTAAAATTTTTAAGGGCCAATAGGGCCCCCCCCCCCCTTTTTTCTGCAGTCAGTGTGATGAGCACAGCCTATTCTCCAGCCAGCAAAGGCGTTGCGGCGAAGACACAAATGCACACTCGTGTACACGGTGGATGGGCAGACTGCCATTAACACTCACTGATTCTCACATGCGCAGACGGACAGGCAAACACGTGCTGACGCACTCTCACACATATGCAGTCAGGCACAAATACACAAACATCATCTAACAAAACGATCCTTAAACCAATCACAGCAACACACCCACTAATCATATTTCAAATGACCCAAAAATACAGCAGGGGCCTGTCCTGCTTTGAGCTCAGCGATCCATAGATCAAAGGCTGTTTTATTTTGCTGTAGTCTGTCAAGCTGTGGAACCGACAGAATAATTAAAAAATCTCTTCTATTGATTACTGTCACTGAACAACGGTGGCATTCATCATCACAGCTCTGGGTTTTAAGGAAATTAAAGCTGTAACTCTATACCCATGAATACCTCCACGCAGCCTGAATCCTCACAAATGCCATGTAGTGTGTTTACATGCACAGCCTTCCTCAGGCCGAGCTCACATTTGTATCAGCAAGATAAATTGCTCACACATTAATTCCTTCTCCATAGACTATTGCTTTCTAAGCAGAGATGAAATTATGTT